GGGCCATCTCAGCGGGCGCTTGCTGTTGGCGTCTGCCTGGCCCGCAGCCGGAGGGGTGTATCCAGCCGGGAACAGACAAGGCTCCTGGGCCAGTGGGGCTGGATCAGGCCTGGAGACGGCTTGACACAGAACCGTCCTTCTCTGGCGGTGTCATGCCCCCACGGGATCCGTCGTGAGGCGGCCTGAATCCACCTCTGCCGAGGGTGGAGCACCGGGTGGCTTCTGCCCACGCAGCACCCAGTGTGGCCCGCAGGACGCAGGGCCGTGGCCAGGCAGGAACAGCCCTGCAGACTCCCCCGAGTGCCCTCCCTGTCCTGAGAGCAGGCGAGGGGCCCCCTGTGGTGCCGGCAGCCGGGCGGCGACGGGCCTCGCGGCTGCGTCCCTTGACGTCGCCACGCTGTTTCCCGCAGTTCGGCACTTACAGCGAGTCGGAGAGGAGGACGGAGGAGTACGACACTCAGGTGAGCAGTGGGCAGCGGCCTGCGGGGCCCTCGTGGGTCCTGGGAGGTGGCCTCCTAGGAGGTGGGAGACTGGGACGCACAGAGGCCTCGTGGGTAAGCGGCCCGTGTTTGTTCTGAGGTCGCACCTGCCCGAGGGCGGTGTCCGGGGCGATGTATTCCGAGTCAGAGCAGCGACCTTCCCGCGTGGGAGCAGCTGCCATCCGCTTCTGTTTGGGTGGCGCCACTGGGGTTAGCCCAAGCTCGAGTCAGGGCAGTTAGTCACATGGCCAGAGGAGTCGGTGCTGCCTGCGGGGTCCCAGAGCTCACTGCGGGGTCCCAGAGTTCACTGCGGGGTCCCAGAGCTCACTGTGGGGTCTCACTGTGGGGTCAGAGCTCACTGTGGGGTCCCAGAGCTCACTGTGGGGTCCCAGAGCTCACTGTGGGGTCTCACTGTGGGGTCAGAGCTCACTGTGGGGTCCCAGAGCTCACTGCGGGGTCCCAGAGCTCACTGTGGGGTCTCACTGTGGGGTCCCAGAGCTCACTGTGGGGTCCCAGAGCTCACTGCGGGGTCTCACTGTGGGGTCTCACTGTGGGGTCTCACTGTGGGGTCCCAGAGCTCACTGCGGGGTCCCAGAGCTCACTGTGGGGTCTCACTGTGGGGTCAGAGCTCACTGTGGGGTCCCAGAGCTCACTGTGGGGTCCCAGAGCTCACTGTGGGGTCTCACTGTGGGGTCTCACTGTGGGGTCCCAGAGCTCACTGCGGGGTCCCAGAGCTCACTGTGGGGTCTCACTGTGGTGTCAGAGCTCACTGTGGGGTCCCAGAGCTCACTGCGGGGTCTCACTGTGGGGTCTCACTGTGGGGTCTCACTGTGGGGTCAGAGCTCACTGCGGGGTCCCAGAGCTCACTGTGGGGTCCCACTGTGGGGTCTCACTGTGGGGTCAGAGCTCACTGTGGGGTCCCAGAGCTCACTGGGGGTCTCACTGTGGGGTCTCAGTTTTCCTGTTGGCTGTTGATCTGGTGCAGGGTGGAGTGTTGGAGCCACGTTAGCACTTCCTGTGGACTGATGCTGTAGCTGGTGCTTGGGATCCGTTGCTGTCCCCGCGCCCCACAGCGTGTGTCACCGGCCCGCGTGTGGCAGGCCGATGTGCGGGTGCCGTTGTTGTGGGTTAAGTCCAGGACAGACGGGTCCTGGGAGCGCTGACCTGGAAATCCCCGTTGCTCCCCTGACAGGCCATGAAGTACTTGTCCTACCTGCTGTACCCGCTGTGTGTCGGGGGAGCCATCTACTCCCTCCTGAACATCAAGTATAAGAGGTAGGCCCCACAGCCCTCACCCCGGCACCTCCCCCCCGGATCCACGGTGCCTCTGGGCTCTCACAGACCCGGCCTGGCAGGCGAGCTCGGGCCAGTGGGGGGCCTGGCTCTGCCCTGCTCTGCCGGGACCCCGTGCCTTGGCCGCCTCGCTGTGCTGTGGAGAACAGGGCACCTCCAGCCCCTGAGGGTCCAGAGTGCTCACGAGGAGTGGACCTTGGGGCCGGGCCCAGGCCTGTCGTCGGCCCCTCGGCCTCTCCCTGGCCTCACCGTGCCCGTGCAGTGGTGCCTGGGTGCCTTCCTGCACAGCTCAGAGCTGGGGAGCGCGGGTGGAGGCTGGGAGTTTGAAACACGAACACTCGCGCAGACAACACAGCTGCCCTGGATGAGAGCCCCCCGGGCACGGGCCTTCCCGGGTCAGGTCACCCCTGGCGTTCATGGGGTCTCCGTGAGGTGGGCTTGTTGGGTGACGAGGGTGTCCGTCTTCTCTCTTGCAGTTGGTACTCCTGGCTCATCAACAGCTTCGTCAACGGTGCGTCCACGTGTTTCCCCAGCTGCTGCTCGTCCCTGGCTGCACGAGGCCGATGCCGCCCCTCCCAGCCCAGGCAGCCGCCTCTGGTTGGCCCGAGCTCAAACCCAGGGCCTGCGTTAGACTCGAGCCGGGAACAGACCCGCAATTCAGAACCCACAGAGCAGGGCTGCGTCCCCACGCAGACGCCCGAGCACGAGCTTGGCGTGGGCCCCGCGGGGTGGCTGTCACCACGCTCCCCGTGTGTGTGAAAGGCTGGGGGAGCGGGCGGCTCCTGCACCCCACGCTCCCTGGTGTGATACGGGAGCTGGCCCCGCCTCCCCTGCCCCCGGGGCAGGAGTGACCAGCACTCCCCGGCCCCCGTGGGCGGACCTGGCTTCCGGTGGCTGCGGGGTGAAGCGGCTCCGCACAGGCCTGGCCCAGGGCCAGCCCCGGGCGTCTCACGCTGCCTCTGTCCCCCTGCAGGGGTCTACGCCTTCGGCTTCCTATTCATGCTGCCGCAGCTCTTCGTGAACTACAAGGTAAGGCGCGGGCGGGCACTGCCCGGGCCCGTGGTCATGCCGCCCACCTGACTGGCCCCTCTCTCCGTCAGATGAAGTCGGTGGCACACCTGCCCTGGAAGGCCTTCACCTACAAGGTGCGTGGTGTCCGTGGTGCCGGGCGGGCGGGCGGCCGCGGTGGCTTCCTGCCTCTTGTCACCTGTCAGAAGCAGGCCCCGTCCCCACCCCCGGCCCAGTACCTCGGGGTCTGGGGCTGGTGCAGGGGCCGGGGTGTGGGAGTAGCGCGAGCCAGCCCTGCTCCTACGTGCGCTGTGCAACAGCCTTGCTGAGTTCCCAGTGCCCCTCAGTGTAGACGGAGCACAGCCCCTCAGTGTAGACAGGGAGAGCACGGTCCCCTCAGTGTAGACAGAGCATAGCCCCTCAGTGTAGAGAGGGAGAGCCCAGTGCCCCTCAGTGTAGACGGAGCATGGCCCCCTCAGTGTAGACAGAGCACAGCCCCTCAGTGTAGACAGGGAGAGCCCAGTGCCCCTCAGTGTAGAAGGAGCACAGCCCCTCAGTGTAGACAGGGAGAGCCCAGTGCCCCTCAGTGTAGACGGAGCACGGCCCCTCAGTGTAGAGAGGGAGAGCGTGGCCCCCTCAGTGTAGACGGGGAGAGCCCCGGGGCCAGGTGGGCGGGGTGCAGAGCCGTCCCCCGCCCGCCCCGCAGGCCTTCAACACCTTCATTGACGACGTCTTCGCCTTCATCATCACCATGCCCACGTCCCACCGGCTGGCGTGCTTCCGGGACGACGTGGTCTTCCTGGTCTACTTGTACCAGCGATGGTGAGTGCCGGCTGCAGCCGCGGCCCTCGCGTGGCGCCCGTGGGGAGAGGCCGTCTGCCGCTGGGCCTCTCCGTGTTGCCGGCGCGGCTGGACCCTGCCGAGCTGCTGAGCCGCCGCAGGGGCGGGGTCTCCGTGCGCCCAGCTGTCCTCCCTCCTGGGGGGCTGGCCGCGGGGTGGGCGGTAGCCTTGCTGGAGGCTTGCTCCCCCGCACTGGCGGTGCCGCCCGAGACCGCAGGGCTCCGTCCTCCGTCAGGGTGGGAAACGGCAGACCCCAGCCCAGGCTTCCCCGCACCCTGCACCCATGAGGGTGCCCAGCCTCGTGCCGTGCCCGCAACGAGAGCCTCGCCTCCCCCTCCCCTCCTGAGGGGGGGTCTCCTTGGAGTGAGCGTCGTGTGCTGCTAGGCTGTGTCCTCTCCCCCAAGACCCCAAGTCCCTCCATCACTCACCCACAGCGGCCCTGACGCTGTCTGCACCCTGCCCGGGGCCAGCGTCTTCCCGGGGAGGGGAGGGACTTTCTCCCCCCAGCCTGGCCTATGTGCCGGACTCACAGCCCACCTCCCACCCGAGCCAGGCGGGGTCCCAGTGGACATGTCACCATGTCACATCACGCAGCGCAGGGCACTGCCCACACCGGGCTGTGAGACAGGGTCCGTGGCTCCGGCCTCCCCGCCACGCCTGGTGTGTCCGCGGGTCTGCACCCACGTGCCGTCCGCAGCTGCTGCAGTTGGGGCCGCGGTTCGGTGGTGCCTGCTGTGGTTCTCCCGGGGGCGTCAGGCCAGAGGGGGCTCCTGCCGCTCTCCGAGGCCCCGCCCCCACTCCAGTCCGGGCGAAGGTGCTTGGTGGGAAAGGGTCAGCTTCTGAGGCTGAACACTGGCGCCAGGAGTCTTGGCGGCCGGTGCTGTGCTCCTGCCCACGTCCCCACCTCTCACCGGGGTGACGCTGGGCAGGCCGGGCGGCCGTTCCCGGGGCTGGAGGAAGTGACCACTGCCCCTCCACAGTGCGGGCTGCCCGCCCCCTCCTGCGCCTGCTGCCTTGCGGGACGGCAGGAGAATGGTGGCTGACGTTAGTCCCTTGCTCGCCTGCTGCGGCAGCCGACTGGGGAGCCACGCAGGGAGAGTCCTCTAGTCCTCCTAGCACCTGTGCTGGCCAGGGGGCGCACCGCCCACAGGGGAGAGTGCCCTGCCCTCGCGGGGTCGAGGGCCCACAGGCCTGTCGGCCCCGCCCACAGGCGTGTCAGCCCCGCCCACAGGGGAGTTAGTGCTCCGCCCACAGGGGAGAGTGCCCGCCCACGCGGGATTGAGGGCCCCACAGGCCTGTCGGCCCCGCCCATGGGCTGGTGAGTGCCCCGCCCACAGGCGTGTCAGCCCCGCCCACAGGGGGTTAGTGCCCCGCCCTCATGGGGGTCCAGGGCCCACAGGCCTGTCGGCCCCGCCCATAGGGTGTTGAGTGCCCCGCCCACAGGCGTGTCAGCCCCTCCCACAGGGGGTTAGTGCCCCGCCCACCGGCCGCCTTGCCGGGCGGGCCTGCGCGCTGCAGCCGTGCGCTTGCTTGCAGGCTTTATCCCGTGGATAAGAGCAGGGTGAACGAGTTCGGGGAGTCGTACGAGGAGAAGCCCCGGCGGAAATCCCACGCGGACTGAGCCGCCCGAGCTGCTGCGAGGCTCAGCGGAGCTCCCCAGACTGCATCTTCTGCGTTGCCAAACCCCCGAGAACGCTCCCCACGCGCCCCCAGGCCTCGCCGGGACGCCCGCGCCCGCCCGGTCTCGGTTCTCCCTGTGTTAAGTGCTCCTTACGGGAAGGCAAGCGGACGGAAGCGCGCTCCACGTGGACTCTGGGATCAACGCTCCTTCCCCGTTTGTTTGTTGAAGATTTTGTTTTAAAGATGAATGTATGTATGTTTCTATTTTAAAGTAAACTTCTCTGACTGTGACGTTTTCCTGACCTGGTGACGCGGGGGCATTTCGGGCCTCACCTCTTCCCGGGGCTCACGGTGCGGACGGGACCGCCGGGGCGGGGCGGGGGCTGACGCTGCACGGCCGGGGGCTGCCTTAGGGCTTTGTCCGGAGAAAACACGATTCCTGAGAAGGGCTTTCCGACACGGGCAGCAGGCGCCAGGACCTGCGGGGGCTACAGCGGTGGAGACCAAGCGCCTGCCGCGCCTCGCAGTGCGCGGGACCAGACCCCAAGACGCCGCGCGCCGCCTTAGCTGTGGTGCTGACGGCACGGAGGGGAGGATCGTGTCCTTAGGACTACGGCAAACGTGTGCTCTTTACGGAGGGGACCGTGCGAGAGAAGCCCCGCCCATGGCCCCTCGGCCTACACGCGGTGTGAGAAACCCCCCACGGCTCCGTCACTGTACACGCAGAGAAGCCCCGCCCACGGCTCCCTCACTGTACACGTGGTGTGAGAAGCCCCGCCCACGGCTCCCTCACTGTACACGTGGTGTGAGAAGCCCCGCCCACGGCTCCCTCGCCATGCGCGCTCCCTCGGGGTTTCTGAACGGCGTCCTACGAGTGGGTCGTGGGGGACCTCGCTGTGGGCATCGGGGCTGGCACACAGCGGAGGCTCCCGTGACTGCCGTGAGCGCTGGGGGCGGCCGGCCGAGGGCGCGTCCTGTGCGGGGACCCTGAGCGGCCGGTGTTGGCCTCCAGCGCCCAGGAGTGGTCACAGCTGCGGACGGCACGTTCTGGGAGCCCGCCCTCTCGGAAGCCGCGAGAAAGCCCTGGACCACGGGGCTTCGCGGGGCGGGGCGCGGGGTTCCTGCCGGCATTCAGGAAAGGAGCAGTGTGAGTGTGGAGGGGCCGCCCACCAAGGCCCCCAGACCACGGAGGCAGCGGGGAGCGGCCCCAGGCGCCCCCTGGGCTCTTCCCTCTCCCCCCCCCCTTCACCCTGTGCACGGGCACCTGGCCCCTTCTCTTCTTAACACCGGGGACCCTGCTTCCCGGAGCCCCCCGCAGCAGTGGCTCCCGGCGGCCGCGGCCCAGGGCGTCCTGCTGGCCCCTCGTGCCTGCCGTCAGCCCAGCCGGCGTCGCAGGCCCTGGTGGGGGTTTCCGCGCTGTGTGAGCTCGTCTCTTTCCTGTCGCTTGTGCGGTGCTGGTTCTGTCTCGTGCTAGTTAAGATTTATGTGTTTGGAAGGCAGAGTGGCAGAGGTCTCCCGTCCGCTGGCAACGGCCGGGGCCCCCACCGGGCGCAGGGGCCCAAGCACTCGGCCTCCACTGCCGTCCCAGGAGCACCAGCAGGGAGCTGGCCGGGCGGGAGGGGACACGGTGCGGGATGCGCTGTGGCTGCTGCTTCGCCTGCCCGTGCCCTGCTCGGCGGCTGCTTCCACTCGTTCCCTGGGCTGCTGCGTGTTTGGAGGCCCAGGGCCACGTGTCCATTCTGGCTGACACCAGTCCGTGTGGACCCTGGGCCCCAGCATGGGATGTGTGCACAGGGTGTGCACTTCGGGCAGGACCAGCGGCTCAGGCAGTCTGCTCCTGTCCACACGTCTCAGGGCCGCGTGGACACCCCTGGCGCAGGCGGCGGGCAGGCATGGAGGGGTCAGCTAGCGGCTGCAGACCCCAGGCAGGAAGAGGCGTGGGGGCGGCCGGAGGGGGCTTCACTCTTCACCTTAGCAATGACGGTTTGGGGCAGCGCAGTCAGGGTCAAGACCCTGCCACAGCCATCGCGCCCCAGCTCCGCGGCACGGCCCGATGGAGACTTCTCTGTGCGCCGAAACCCTCCCAGCCTGGGCGCCGACAGCTTTACCGTTTCCTTAAACTTCACCGATGACCTTCAAGCAGGCAGAAATCCCGACACAGGGCTGATCCACCACACGCACAGGGGTTTTGCCCCGAGCGCCTCTGACTGGTTTCCTAAGGTGGTTTCAGGTGGAGAGCACACGGGGAAGTGGCCTGGGGGTGGACTAAACGCAGCCTGCTGGGCCCCTGGCAGCAGCTCCCTGGCCTGGGACTGTCCCCGCCCAGCACTGCCTTCCTGGGCTGCCCCTGGGGTGTGCAGGAAGTCAGCGCCCCCCCAGCCCACACAGAACCTGCAGCTGCCGGCTCAGCGCCCCAGGCTGCAAAGAACGCACAGGAAATCCCAGTGTAAATAAAACCATCAGTCACCGACCACAGACACCTGTTCCGGCAGCGTCTCCAGACCTCACAAACCACAGGTGGCAACCTCAGGCTCCCGGGACAGAACCAAGCCGCCCCTGGCAGACAGGACTGGGAATCCCAGGACCCAGGGTGGCCCCCACCTCCTGGGGACAGCCATCAGCCTGCCCCCCACCCCCGTGGTGTGGCCGGCCCTGGGACGCTGGCTGGGCCCTCCCCCTTCGCCCCAGCCGGCCAAGCGCTCACCGTTTCTCTGCACGAGGCTCCCTGTCCCCTCCCCTCCCTCATGGCAAAGGGAACAGGGCCTGCCAGCCCCTAACCTGCTGGGCTCTGAGCCTGGCCCGGTCCACGCGCAGCTCCTGGTGTGGGGCCGTGGCCTGGGCCAACCTCCAGGCGCTGCCCCCCGCTTACGCCACAGCGGCCACGGGAAAGCACGGTGACCCGCCCCGGGGAACCCTGGTGACTCTCACTCCACCCAGCAGGGCGGTGGAAACGCCGTGGCTGCCGGGAACCAGGGCCAAGTTTCATTCATGAATTCCACGGTGGGAAAACCCCAGTCCTCTACAAGCTGGGTAGATGAACTGGTGTGGCCACACCACAGTCAGCTGCTGACCACAGAACCAGCTGACCGCGGAGCCAGCCACTGACCACAGTGCCCATGACCGACTGGACAGTGTCAAAGGAACTCCACGGAGCAAAACTGTCGCTCTGACCTCAAAGGCCCACGTGACATCTCATTTATTCAACATGGAAGGTCAACCCCAGGCCAGTTAGGCTGTGGGGGGTGCAGGCCAGCCCCTGAGGTGTTGACTGGGGGCGGTTCACGGGCCACACGTGGCAAAGTGGCGTGGAAACGCACACAAACCTTCCAGGGACACCACTCTGGGACTGGCCTGAGTATGGTGACAACAGGGCACATGCGCGCGGGGGCAGGGGCACAGCTGCGTGGCCTGGGCAGAACGATGTCCCCAACGCCGTCCGCCTCCTGACCCCTGCACCTGTGACCCGCACCGCAGCTGGGATGTTCTGGGTTATCCTGAGGGAGGCAGGGAGGCGCGGGCCCCGCCCCCACTCACCCCACTTGAGCCTGCTCCCACCTGGGCAGCCACAGTGGGAAACCAGCACAGGGCCAGTTGACCATTTCACAGCAAAAGTTCAAGAACTCGCCAAGACAGGAGTGCGGGCAGGGGGGGCACGGGGCTGGGACCCCTACCCCGCCCCCGTCAGCTTTCACAGAAACAAAGGCTCCGTGTGGCCTGAGCAGCTGAGACCTGCTGACTCCCCAGCCTGCCCCACGCCCGCCGTGTCCCCTCCCCTCCACTGGACGAGGCCCCTGCGCAGGTGTGGCTGTGCCCTGCTGCCACCAGGACGTGGCCTCCACTCCTGAGCCGCAGGACTGCTGGCAACGGGAGGACGAGGGTCTGGCCTGCAGCCCCCGCCCACTGCCCGTGACGGGACCCAGGGAGGGACACGCACAGCTCTGCAGGCACACGCAGGCCCCCCCTTGGGGCCACTGTGTCCACTGCTGATGGCCGCGGCTCCCGGGGCCGGCGTGGCCCCTCGGCACAGGCCACGCTTCGTGCCCGTCACGCAGCTCTGGAGGAGGGCGGCGGTGCTGTGGGGCCAGGAACCCCGATCAGGTGTTCCTGGATTTACTGTAACTTGGCAATTTAAATGTTTCCTAAGACATTTCTCACGTTTAACGTGATGACTTAAGGTCATCCCCCGGCCGGCAATGGCACGCAGAGGTTAAGCTGCCCTTGGAGCACCTGCATCCCACTGGTTTTTGTTTTTTAAGATTTGCTTATTTGAAAGGAAGGGGAGGGGGAATGGAGGGGGAGGGGAGGGGGAGGGGAGGGGGAGCGACGGATTGGTGGATTTCAGTCCGGGGGCTCACCAGCCAGGAGATGAACTCCTACGCGGTGTTGGATGTGGGTGCAGGGCCAAGCACCGGGGCCATCTTCCAGGGCTGTCCCAGGCGCGCCAGCAGGAGTGTCCTGGAAGCAGAGCAGCCGGGACTGGAACCAGCGCTCACAGCGGGAGCAGGGCCCCCACACCCCACTCTCCAACACCTGGCCGTGCTGTCCATCACAGCTCCCTGCTAACACCCACCCTAATGCAGCAGGTGAGGCCTCAAACCATTCACCGGCAAAGCCAGATGGCGCTCCGGGCAGCCCCGCCCAGCCCTGGCTGCTGCAGGCACCTGGGGAGTGAGCAAATAAATAACGGTTTTTTTGTTTGTTTGTTTGTTTTGACAGGCAGAGTTAGTGAGAGAGAGAGAGAGAGACAGAGAGAAAGGTCTTCCTTTTTCTGTTGGTTCGCCCCCCAAATGGCTGCCACGGCCGGAGCGCTGCGCCGATCCGAAGCCAGGAGCCAGGTGCTTCTCCTGGGCTCCCATGTGGGTGCAGGGCCCAAGGACTTGGGCCATCCTCCACCGCACTCCCGGGCCACAGCAGAGAGCTGGACTGGAAGAGGAGTGACCGGGACAGAATCCGGCGCCCCAACCGGGTGCTGGCGCTGCAGGCAGAGGATTAGCCAAGTGAGGCGCAGCGCCGGCCTGCAAATAAATAACGTTTTAAAAAGACTGCCATCGCTTTTCAGACAGGGTCTGAGCACAGGTGTCCCGCGGTCCTCGGGGTGGGGAGGGCTCGTGGCCCCCATCCCTGTAAGTGCCGCCCCGAAAACGCACGTCCTCTAGGGACGCGACCGAGGGAGAGGACACGGCTCCCAAGGCTGGTGGGAGCCACAGGTGAGGGAAGAGGGGCACTCGGGGGAGAGGCCGTCGGGGAACAGCGGGCACCCGGGGGGAGGCCATCGGGGGACAGCGGGCACCCGGGGGGAGGCCGTCGGGGGACAGCGGGCACCCGGGGGAGAGGCCCATCGGGGGACATGGGCACCCGGGGGGAGGCCGTCGGGGGACATGGGCACCCGGGGGGAGGCCGTCGGGGGACAGCGGGCACCCGGGGAGAGGCCGTCGGGGGACATGGGCACCCGGGGAGAGGCCGTCGGGGGACAGCGGGCACCCGGGGGGAGAGGCCGTCGGGGGACAGTGGGCACCCGGGGGAGAGGCCCATCGGGGGACAGCGGGCACCTGGGGGAGGGGCTCATGGGGGACATGGGCACCCGGGAGGAGGCCGTCGGGGGACAGCGGGCACCTGTGGGAAAGGCCGTCGGGGGACACGGGCACCTGGGAGAAGCAGGAAGCGCCGGCAAGGGCGGCCCCGCAGGCGCCAGCCACCGCCACCGCCACCGATAACAGCAATCACGGCCAGCGGGTGCAGTTTATGAGCGCTCGGTGTTTGCACACCCAGCGCGGCGAGGCCTCGGAGCCCCACGTGTCTCCGCTTCCCAGAGATTCAAGCTCCAACAGCCCGCGGGCCACGCTGCGCTGCGCGACCACCGCCGGCCGCCTGCAGGTGTCCCGGCTGAGCACGGGCTTGGCGCTCCCGCCCTTCGCTGGGTCGACCCCGTGGTGCTCGCGGGCACCGAGGCGGGCGGGGGTCCCAGACCCACGGCGGTGAGTCACGGCCTGGAGCCGTGGGGCCCGTCCACGCCCTCCCGAACTCGCTCGGCCCCGGCGCATCTGGGAAGGTGCGGAGCCGCGGAGTAGGACCCAGACGCCCGCCAGGGCCCCCGCCTCGTGGTCACTGACCCCAGAGCCGCGGGACACTCAGCGCCTGAGCTCCAGAGGGGCGAGCGGCCTCCAGCGCGCCCCTCGCCAACAAAGCGGCCCCGCGCGCAGCGCTAGGAGGGCGGTGGGCGGAGCGCGGGCGCCGGCTCGGGACCCCGCTCTGCGACCCCGGCCCCCGCCCAGCAGGGCCCCGCCCCTTCCTCTCCGCGCCCCGCCTCCTCCACACGGACCCCGCCCGGGCCCGCCTCCTGCGCGCACTGCGCTGGCGCACGGGCGGGAGCCTGGCCGCCCCGCGTGCGCGCGCCACTCGGCAGGATCCTGGCACGTGGGCCGCCAACAGCCCGCGCACAGCTCGCCAGAGCCCCCGCGCGGGCGGCCGGATCTCCACGCCCGGCCGCCGGGCTCCGGCCCCGCGATGCCGCGCGCGCCCCGGTGCCGAGCCGTGCGCGCGCTCCTGCGCAGCCGCTACCGCGAGGTGCTGCCGCTGACCACGTTCGTGCGGCGCCTGGGCCCCGAAGGCCGACGGCTCGTGCGGCGCCGGGACCCGGCGGCCTTCCGCGCCCTGGTGGCCCAGTGCCTGGTGTGCGTGCCCTGGGACGCGCAGCCGCCCCCCGCCCCCCTCTCCTTCCGCCAGGTGGGCCGCCCGGGGGACCCGCTCGGGGAGGGGGAGGCGGAGCGGCGCCCCGGGACTCAGGCCCCGTCCCTGCAGGTGTCCTCGCTGAAGGAGCTGGTGGCCAGGGTCGTGCAGAGGCTCTGCGAGCGCGGCGCGAGGAACGTGCTGGCCTTCGGCTTCGCGCTGCTGGACGGCGCCCGCGGCGGCCCGCCCTGGGCCTTCACCACCTGCGTGCGCAGCTACCTGCCCAACACGGTGACCGAGACGCTGCGCGGCAGCGGCGCGTGGGGGCTGCTGCTGCGCCGCGTGGGCGACGACGTGCTCGCGCACCTGCTGGCGCGCTGCGCGCTCTACCTGCTGGTGGCCCCGAGCTGCGCCTACCAGGTGTGCGGGCCGCCTCTGTACGAGGCCGACGCCGAGGCCCGGCCCCCAGCACCACGCGCGCGTGGGACCCCGACGGGCCCCGCGGCCACGCGACAGGTTCGGAACAGCAGCGGTGGCGAGGCCGGGGCGCCCCTGGGCTCGCCCGCCTGCGGTTCGGGGCGCGGGCCTGCCGCGGCCTTCGCGGTGACACCTGCCGAGTGTTTGGAGACCACGCGCTCCAGGGCGTCCGCGGGAGTGGACCGCAAGCGGGAGCCCGGCCGCTCCGCCGCCCGGCGGTCACCGCGTCCGCAGGCCCAGGTGTACGCGGAGACCAAGCGCTTCCTCTACTGCGCGGGCGACGGCGAGCGGCTGCGCGCGTCTTTCCCACTCAGCTCCCTGCGGCCCAGCCTGGCGGGCGCCCGGAGGCTGCTGGAGGCCATCTTCCTGGGCTGGACGCCGAGGCCCGGGGCGAGCCGCAGGCCGCGCCGGCTGCCCCCGCGCTACTGGAGGATGCGACCCCTGTTCCGGAAGCTGCTCGCGAACCACGCGCGGTGCCCCTACGGCGCGCTCCTCCGGACGCACTGCCCGCTGCGGGGGCCGGCCTCGCAGGTGCGCTCCCCGAGGCCGGCCGCCGACCCCCAGGAGGACGCGGGCTCCCGGCGCCTGGTGCGGCTCCTGCGGCAGCACAGCAGCCCGTGGCAGGTGCACGCGTTCCTGCGGGCCTGTCTACGCCGCCTGGTGCCCCCCGGCCTCTGGGGCTCCAGGCACAACGAGCGCCGCTTCTTGAGGAACACGAAGAAGTTCATCTCGCTGGGGAAGCACGCCAAGCTCTCGCTGCGGGAGCTGACCTGGAAGGTGAGGGTGCGGGACTGCACCTGGCTGCGCGCGAGCCCAGGTGAGCGGGCGGCGGCCAGCGCCAGGCCGGCAGCTGAGGGGGTGGTGGGCGCGGCTGCCCTGCCCCTGGACTGGAAGGTCCCGTGCTGACGGCGTGGGGTTGGGGGTGTCGGGTCAGGTGCTGGGCAGGGGAGAGGAGCGGGGATACACTTCCTGTGAGCGCTGCCCGGGAGGAGGGGTGGGGCTCCTGCCCTGGCTCCCCGGGTGGCTGAGCCAGCGACCCCGTCGTGTTTCCCACTTGAGCTCCAGGGGACGGTGGCAGTGTCTCTGCCAGCCCCCAGCCTGCTCCTGGATGGGTGGGGCTTGAGTCAGCTGGCCACCTCCCTCGGGACCCAATGGGGAGGGCTTGTGGGGGTGGATGCCCTGCTGGGCTCCCCAGCGATGGGGACGTGCGGTGACCGCTCTGTCCCTGTGTCGTGGAAATGCCCCCACGGCGGGAGGCGCGACGCCAGCCCCGGGCACCCCCAGCGCTGCTCCATGCGCCCGCCCCCCCCCCCCCCGGGCGCTGTGTGCTCAGCCTTCGCGGGGGAGCAGGGTTGCTGGGGTTGGGATCTGCCTGTTGCACGGGCGGGACGGGCCGGCTTTCCCAGTGTGGGCTGCGCACGGGAGGGGTGGCGCTGTGGCGCTGGGCTGTCTCCGGTCCCTCTCGCTGCAGCCGCGGGACCTGTCTCCCTCGCTCTGCCCGCGGGACCTGTCTCCCTCGCTCTGCCCGCGGCGTTGGCCCGATGGCCTGGGTAGCTGTGTGCTGCCTGCCGATTCCTCCCCTCCCTGAGGGCCGGCCCTGTGCTCCTGTGTGCGGCTCAGCCTCCTGCCACCCCCCGTTGCCCTTTGACCTGCAGAGTGGAGTGCTGTTGTCCCCGTGGGGTCCTCTCTGTGGAGCCTTTGTTCTGCGTTTCAGTGATTTCTGTTTCTCTCTTCGGTGGTTCTGTATAAACTTCTGACTGGACGCGTGGCTACGCATCAGCCTCTGAGTGCTGCTGTGGCTGCGCCTCGTGCTGTAAGAAGCAGTTATTTTGATACCAGTCGCTTTTCAAAGGATTTGATTTACTTTGAAAGAGAGAAAAAGAGAGAGAGAGCTTTCATCTGCTGGCTCACTCTCCAGATGGCTGCAGCCGCCCGGCTGGCCAGGCTGAAGCCGGGAGCTTCCTCCAGGCCTCCCACGTGGGTGCAGGGGCCCGAGCGCTGGGGCCATCTTCCTCTGCGTTCCCGGGAACATGAGCAGGGCGGTGCGGCAGCCAGGACTGGCGCCCGGCTCTCACATGAATGCCGGCGTCGCGCGGTCCTTAGCCTGCAGCTCCACAGCACCGGCCCCTCTGTGGTGACTCCTGGTGGCGGAGCCTGCACGGGGCGACGGTTGAACCGGGAGGCCTGGGTGGTGTCCTGCGGCTCCTGCGCCGGGCTCCCGAGGGTTGGCTCTGTGCCGTGGAGCCGTCAGCTGAGCCAGGAGGTGGGTGGGCACAGGAGATGGCCCCTGGGGCTGAGGGTCCCACCACGCACCTGCGCAGAGACAGAACTCGCCACCCCACGTCGCCCTGCAGCCGTCCTCGGCTGGGTGTTTTCCCGTGGTGCTGTTTGCTCCTGGGTGTTTACTCTGCCGGGCTCCTCGGCTTAGCTGCAGCTCAGCCACGCACACGGGTGAGGCTTCCATTACTTCCAGCCCGCGGGACGGCGTTTAGGGAGAGGCCGGCCTGAGTGTGCTTCCCATTTCCTTAGAGGCCGAGAGAGACGGGGGACAGCGCCCGTCCTCGGGCTCACCGCTGAAACGCCTGCAGCGGCCCCCAAAGCCAGAGCCAGGAGCGGCCTCCAGGTCCCCGGCGCCGGCGCCGCTGCCTCCCTGGCGTCCCCGTTCCCCGGGCTTTACTGTCTTCTGCCTTCGGGTCCTTGGAAGCCGCCGGTGGGCGGCAGAGGGCATTAAACCCAACTGGTGCCATTGGCTCTCCTGAGCAGGGACCTGGACTCTGGCCGCTGTCCCTGCTTGCCCAGCCGCCGTCCCCATGGTCAGGGTCTGCCCCGCCCCGGCCCCTCCCTGGTTTCTCTTAAGCGGGTTATTGGTGGGCCCTGAGTGGCCTGCGGTGTCTGATGCCAGGGCCCCCAGGGGTCCAGCCGTGCAGCCACGCTGTGTGTCCGAGCCGCTGGGCCTGGCCAGCGCCGGGTCTTCCGCCCGGAGGCTGTGAGTTTGACTCTGCACCCGGGAGCCTTTTCCACGTTGTCTGCTCTGCGTGCCAGCCCGAGCAGAGAGCCGCGTGTGCACCGTGGGGGTGCCAGGGGCCGGCACGCTATGCAGCGACATGTTCACCAAAGCCGGGGCAGCCAGCTCGGGACTGCGGGGCCCCTCGCGCGCTGCACTCCGGCCAGGGCTGCCCCGTGAGGGTGCACGTGCGGGGTCTGCCTCCTTCCAGGGCGTGGCCACGTCCCGGCCGCGGAGCACCGACTGAGGGAGGGGATCCTGGCCAGGTTCCTGTTCTGGCTGCTGGACGCCTACGTGGTGGGGCTGCTCAGGTCCTTCTTCTACGTCACGGAGACCACGTTCCAGAAGAACCGGCTCCTCTTCTACCGCAAGAGCGTCTGGAGCAGGCTGCAAAGCCTGGGCATCAGGTACCGCGTGTGGCTTCCCTGTCCCGACTCCCCACAGCCTGTGCTGGCCCGCGGAGGGGCGGTCCCGTGCTGGCCTGTGGAGGGGAGGCCCCGTGCTGGCCCATGGCCCTGTGCTGGCCCGCAGTGGCCCCATGCTGGTCGCTGGAGGGGAGGCCCCGTGCTGGCCCATGGCCCTGTGCTGGCCCGTGGTGGCCCCATGCTGGTCGCTGGAGGGGAGGCCCCGTGCTGGCCCGCAGAGGGGAGGCCCCGTGCTTGGACAACCTTGGTGGGGGTGGCATAGGGGGATGGGGCCCCAGTGGCAGAGATGCCGGCTCCTGGTTCTGCTGAGTCAGACTGAGGGACCAGGACTGATCGCGCCGGGTCGTGCTGAGTGTGGGTGGGGGTCCCCGGGAGGTGTCTGTGGTGGGCGTGGGCGTCCGTGGCCTCGGCCCCACTCCGCAGTGTGTGCCGTGTCCACGGGGCCCTGACCCCGGCCCCGGGCGTGTTGCAGGCAGCACCTGGAGCGGGTGCGGCTGCGGGAGCTGTCGGCCGCGGAGGCCCAGCGGCAGGCCAGGTCGGCCCTGCCCGCGGCCAGACTGCGCTTCATCCCCAAGCCCGGCGGGCTGCGGCCCATCGTGAGCGCGGACTCCGTGGTGGCAGCCAGAACGCGCCGTAGGGAGAAGGTGACCCGGCTTCCGTCTCACCCCACATCAAAGTGCACAGGCTCGCGCCTGTGTGCCCAAGACGGGTCCTGCCGCGGGTGGACGAGGAGCCGGGCCTGGGCGCCCACAGTGGGCAGCTGGCCAGGGCCCTCGGAATCCTGCCGTGGCGCCACACAGAGGGGTGGGAAGAACAGCTGTCACTGCCCCCTGAGGCCTGTGGGACTTGTCCCGTGGCTCCCCTGCCCCCCATGACTCGTCCCGTGGCTCCCCTGCCCCCCGTGACTCGTCCCGTGGTTCCCCTGCCCCCCCGTGACTCGTCCCGTGGCTCCCCTGCCCCCGTGACTCGTCCCGTGGCTCCCCTGCCCCCCCGTGACTCTTCCCGTGGCTCCCCTGCCCCCCCGTGACTCGTCCCGTGGCTCCCCTGCCCCCCGTGACTCGTCCCGTGGCTCCCCTGCCCCCTGTGACTCGTCCCGTGGCTCCCCTGCCCCCGTGACTCGTCCCGTGGCTCCCCTGTCCCCGTGACTCGTCCCGTGGCTCCCCTGCCCCCGTGGCTGCTGGTGCCTCTGCTACGGTGGGGTGATTTTGTCGTTGCTACGGTCACTCCAAGGACCTGGCCTCTGTGGGGGGGGTGCTGCGGACCCCAGCCCCAGGCAGCCGCTCAGCTGGAGGTGGGTGGGTGCCCAGCGTCCCTGAGGGTCACATGTGTTGCCGGGCGGGGGCTCCTGGGGTGCAGTGACAGGAACCCCGAGGTGCCCGGCCGGTGGGCTGAGTGCCGGCTCTGCGTTGGGCTCTCCCAGGATCCTGGGAAGCTGGGGGGGCGTGGGGCTGCCCGCCCCTCTGCAGCCCCCCTGAGACTGCGTCCCATGTGCCCCAGGCCCAGCCCTGGACCTCGCGTGTCAGGACACTGTTCAGCGTGCTCAACTACGAGCGGGCGCAGCGGCCCGGCCTGCTGGGCGCCTCCGTGCTGGGCCTGGATGACGTCCACCGGGCCTGGCGGGCCCTTGTGCTGCGCATGCGGGCTGGGGCCCCCGCTCCCAGGCTGCACTTCGTCAAGGTGGGCCCGCCCCTCCCCCTCGCGCCTGCCCGCTCCTGGTGCCCCATCCTGTCCCCCTCACGCCCCGCCCACTCCCGGAGCCCCGCCCACTCCTGCCTCCCTGCCGCCCCGCCCCCGCATGCCTGCTGCTGGCCAAGTTTCCCAGCTGAGTGTTGCAGGCACCTTGGCAGGGACACCGGTAGCCCAGAGGGCAGAACGCTGAGCCCTCCCTGGGATGCCCCGGTCCCCGGAGGCTGGCCCTGCTCAAGGAGGGACCTGAGTCAGGCTTGGCCACCAGCTCCTGGGCACCCTGGTCACCTGCTGAGAGCCTACCTGTTCACGCACGTGGGGCTTGGAGGCCTCCACCTCAGGTCAGGGTGGGGTCGGGACGGCAGTGCACAAGGCCCCGGTGTCTCGTGCAGGTGGACGTGACGGGGGCCTTCGACGCCATACCCCAGGACAGGCTGGTGGCGGTGATTGGGGGCATCATCCGGCACCCAGAGAGGACCTACTGCGTGCGCCGTTTCGCTGTGGTGCGCCGAGCTGCGCGTGGGCATGTGCACAAGGCCTTCAAAACGCACGTAAGGGCGGGCGTGTCGACTCAGGCATGTCCAGGGCGTGTCTGTAGCACAGGCACGAGATGTGTACGGCCCTGGCGGGCAGGTGCTGCGTGTGAGCCTGTTGACCCAGGCGTGTCTGGGATGTGTCCGTAGCACAGGTGTATCTGCAGCAAGCTTGTAACGTGACTTGGTGTCATGACACACGTGTGACCGAATACCAGCCTCTGGGGGCGTGTCTGGCGTGGGCTGGGCAGCACCTGCCTCCCTGTGCGGGCGCCGAGTGGGGCTTCCTCAAATGCGTGTGTTCCTTTGACTTGGGGTCCTCTCTCCCCCTGGCCGGGGCCGGGTGCAGAGGTGGGCCGGGGCAGCAGGTTCTCCGTCCCCACGGTGGCTGCAGGGGCTCCTGGGCTGTGACCCTCGGTGGTGGTTGGTAGCTGGGGGCAGGGCGGGGCGTGGCCGTGAGCTCCCGCTCGCCCCCAGTGCCCGCTTGGGAGCTGCCGGGGGACACTCCTGGCTCGTAGGGGCCACAGTGCCCGCTGGGCAGGTCTTGGCCGGAGGACCGCGTGCCCAGTGCACGGCCTCACGCCCGCGCCCTGTTGCCGCAGGTGTCCACCCTGGAGGACCTCCAGCCCTACATGGGACAGTTCGTGGCGCACCTGCAGGAGACGAGAGCGCTGAGGGACGCTGTCGTCATCGAGCAGGTGCCCCACTGCCCTGGGGAGGGGCGCGGCGAGGCAGGGAGGAAGCCCCCACTGCCCCGGGTGCCGGGGGGGTCGCTCAGCTCCATCCCGGGAGGGGTACGGCGAGGCTGGGAGGAAGCCCCCACTGCCCAGATGCCAGGGGGGTCGCTCAGCTCCATCCCGGGAGGGGCACGGCGATGCGAGGGAGGAAGCCCCACACCAGAGCCAGGTTCCCGCATTCTGTGTGTATGTGAGACGCACGCCAGGCTCTGCTGTGCTGGGTTGTGTGTGCACGTGTGTGTGTGCTGTGCACGTGTGTGTGTGCACGTTTCCGAGCACACCAGGCTCTGCTGTGCTGGGTTGTGTGCTGTGCACACGTGTGTGCTTGCCTGTGCCAGGCCTTGCTGTGCCTTCAGGGGCCTTGCTCCGTGTGCTGGTTTCAGGACGTGTGCTGAGGCCTTGGCTGTCCCTTCAGCTCCCGGGACCTGCCATGGCCCTGGCCTGCAGCACAGCCTCTCACTTCGTGGGACGCTGTCCTGGCCGGAATTCCAGCAGACTGTCCATGGCCACGGCTGCTCCCCACCATGCCACGGCCACAGCCACCCCACACCCCCGTGCCATGGCCATGGCCGCGGCCGCTCCCCCACCCCGTTCCATGGCTGCGGCCACAGCTGCCCCCCACCCCGTTCCGTGGCCACGGCCGCTCCCCCACCCCGTTCCATAGCCATAGCCACAGCCACGGCCGCTCCCCCTCTGGGCCACGGCCACGGCCATGGCCACGCTGCTCCCTCTCTGCAGAGCTCCTCTCTGAACGAGACCAGCAGCGACCTCTTCGACTTCTTCCTGCGCCTTGTGCACCACAGTGTCATCCGGGTCGGGGACAGGTGGGTGCAGGGCGCCCCGGCCGGCTCCTGCCTGTCAGCGGGCGGGAGGGCCCGGGGACGGCCCGCAGCCGGCAGCCTGGGGGCGGTAGATGCGGCAGGCGCCCCTCTCTGTCCTGCGCCCCTCAGGTCCTACGTGCAGTGCCGGGGCGTCCCGCAGGGCTCCGTGCTGTCCAGGCGGCAGACGCGGCAGGCACCCCTCTCTGTCCTGCGCCCTTCAGGTCCTACGTGCAGTGCCGGGGCATCCCGCAGGGCTCCGTGCTGTCCAGGCGGCAGACGCGGCAGGCGCCCCTCTCTGTCCTGCGCCCCTCAGGTCCTACATGTAGTGCCGGGGCGTCCCGCAGGGCTCCGTGCTGTCCAGCCGGCAGCCTGGGGGCGGCAGACGCGGCAGGCACCCCTCTCTGTCCTGCGCCCTTCAGGTCCTACGTGCAGTGCCGGGGCATCCCGCAGGGCTCCATGCTGTCCAGCCGGCAGACGCGGCAGGCGCCCCTCTCTGTCCTGCGCCCTTCAGGTCCTACGTGCAGTGCCGGGGCGTCCCGCAGGGCTCCATGCTGTCCAGGCGGCAGACGCGGCAGGCACCCCTCTCTGTCCTGCGCCCCTCAGGTCCTACGTGCAGTGCCGGGGCGTCCCGCAGGGCTCCATGCTGTCCAGGCGGCAGACGCGGCAGGCGTCCCTCTCTGTCCTGTGCCCCTCAGGTCCTACGTGCAGTGCCGGGGCGTCCCGCAGGGCTCCATGCTGTCCACGCTGTTCTGCAGCCTGTGCTACGGAGACATGGAGAACAGGCTGTTCCCCGGCGTCCAGCAGGACGGGTGAGCGTGCCACGCGGCAGCCCAGCCGGTCCCGTGTGTGCACCGACAGGGGTGTGTGTGCGTGTGCGTGCGTGTAGCTGCTCCACGGGCGGGGCGAGATCAGGAGGGTGCCCTGCCTGGCTGTCCCCGTCCCCGGTCTGGCTCTCGGTCGCATCTCCTGGAGCAGGGCTCCGAGCCAGGCCTGGTTGTGAGGTTCTGCTGTCAGTGCCAAATCCCACCAGCCTGTGCAGCCAATACGGAGGCCCGGCGGGGGCAGGACGCAGGCGCAAGGTCCCGCTGTGCACGCCCTCCTGGCCCCTGCGCGGGTGCTGCGAGGGAACTAAAGTGAGCCCGTCCCCCAGGGTGCTCCTGCGTCTGGTCGACGACTTCCTCCTGGTTACACCGCACCTGGCCCAGGCAAAAGCCTTCCTCAGGTGAGGGCTCGCACCTGCCAGCCGGGGTGCTGTGGGGGCTGCCGAGCTGTGGGCACCAGGACACAGGTTCCCACGACACAGGAGCCTGCCACAGATACGCCACAGACACACCCCACACAGACACGCCCCACACAGACACACCCCACAGACACGCCCCACAGACACGCCCCACACAGACACACCCCACAGACACACCCCACACAGACACGCCCCACACAGACACGCCCCACACAGACACACCCCACAGACACACCCCACACAGACACGCCCCACACAGACACGCCCCACAGACACGCCCCACACAGACACACCCCACAGACACACCCCCACAGACACGCCCCACACACACGCCCCCACAGACACACCCCACACAGACACACCCCCACAGACACGCCCCACACAGACACGCCCCACACAGACACGCCCCACACACACGCCCCACACAGACACACCCCACACAGACACACCCCACACAGACACGCCCCATACAGACACACCCCACAGACACACCCCCACAGACACACCCCACACAGACATGCCACAGACACGCCCCACACAGACACACCCCACACAGACACGCCCCACACAGACACACCCCACAGACACGCCCCACACAGACACGCCCCACACAGACACGCCCCACAGACACACCCCCACAGACACACCCCACACAGACACACCCCACAGACACACCCCACACAGACACGCCCCACACAGACACGCCACACAGACACACCCCACACAGACACACCCCACACAGACATGCCACAGACACGCCCCACACAGACACACCCCACACAGACACGCCCCACACAGACACGCCCCACAGACACGCCCCACACAGACACACCCCATAAACACGCCCCACACAGACACACCCCACACAGACACACCCCACACAGACACGCCCCACACAGACACGCCCCACACAGACACACCCCACACAGACACACCCCATACAGACACGCCCCATACAGACACGCCCCATACAGACACACCCCACACAGACACACCCCACACAGACACACCCCACAGACACGCCCCACACAGACACGCCCCACACAGACACGCCACAGACACGCCCCACACAGACACACCCCACACAGACACACCCCACACAGACACCCCACACAGACACGTGCCACAGATGTGCACACCACAGGCACTGACAACACCACACCCTCCACACGCCCTCCACACAGACGCCCGTGCCCATCGCGTGGAGGTGAGGCCAGGACCAGCCGTGTGCGTGTTCTGAGGCTGCTCTGTGTGGAGCCACTACCGCTGTGGTTCCCGTGTCCCAGAGCTAAGGACCCCAGAGGGACAGTGCCGGGGCTTCCGAGGCCTGGGACCACCCACCCCCCCAGCCAGACCGCTCCTGCCAGCCGGGAGCTGGGCCCGCTCGAGGGGCTGCCCCGGGGGTCCCTTTGCTCCGGGGCCTCCTGGGAGGGTCTGAATGTCAGGGCGGGGAATGCAGGTGCGCGCCAGGGCGGTGGCCACGGGCCCCCAGGGAGCATGGGAGCTGGGTACAGCAGCCTCGGGCCCTGCTGGCCGGCCCAAGCCCGTCCCTGCACAGCTGCCGGCCGTGTCCAGCTCGTGTCTGCAGACGGACTCCTGCTGCTTCAGGGCCCTGGTCAGCGGCGTCCCCGAGTACGGCTGCCACATCAACCTGGAGAAGACGGTCGTGAACTTCCCTGTGGGGGACGTGGCCCCGGACGGCCCCGCCCCGCTCCAGCTGCCCGCCCACTGCCTGTTCCCCTGGTGCGGGCTGCTGTTCGACACACGCACCCTGGAGGTGTCCTGTGACTACTCCAGGTGAGGGCCGCGGGCCTGGGGGGGGGGGGCGCCATGGAGCCTCAGCCGAGAGCTGGCCGCAGCGTGGCCACCGTGGCGTGGGAGGCTTGCCAGGCACATTTTCCCGGCGCTTTGGTGCAGGCTGTGGAGTGCAGGAGCAGCCTGGGCCCCCGGATCTCTGGCAGGACACGTGTGGTCTGGTAGCCGTCTTGGTGTGCCCACGCCAAGAGCTCACAGCCTGGCCTCAGGCTCGGCACAGCCACGAGTGACGTGAGGGGGAGTCAGTGTTTCCTTCTCCGTGTGTGGGCAGTGCCTGTTACTCTGCAGTTAACTGTCCGGGTCTGGACAGAGCCCCATTCCCAGAGTGCTCGCGGGGCACCTGCTGCGTGGGGGTGGGGCAGGCCCTGTCTGTCCCCCGCAACCCCGTGTCCTGTCCACCTGGGGTGCCCGGCTGCCCAGCCTGCCCTGGCTCTGGGTGGTTTGTCCTCGTCCTTGGGACTCAGATCGGATGGTCCAGGGCTTCTTGCCGTCCGCTGCACCGGCAGCCGTGTGGGCCCGCCCCCGCCACCACGCCCTCGCCCACGGACTCGGCTCCCTGGAGGACAGGCGCCCCCACTCCCTGCCTCCAGCGCTGCCGAGCTGTGGGTGACGCCGTCGGGAGACGTGCCCCTCGGGACACACTAGCAAAGCCAGGGAGCCTGTCGGCGGGCGTGGGGGAAGCAGGTGTGTACCGGTGCTGGGACAGCTGGGGCCCCGGCGCCCTGGGGCTGTCGTGGCCGCGTCAGGAGTGGCTCCAGAGCCGCTCCGGAGCTCTGCATCTGGGTGTCCGGCACACGTGGCCGAGGGCTTCAAGCCGCGGCCGGAAGGAGACCGAATAACTGTGGGGTGAAGGCAGGCCCGGCCAGATTTGGGGCCACCCCAGCCGCAGCCCCGGTGACGCAGTGGCGCACCGCGGAGGAGGCCGCCTCTGCCCAGCGAATGCGTTAACCCCGCGAGGAGCGGGTGAGGGGCACGAGGGGGTTCCTGTGGCTGCGGCGGGAGACGTGACCGACACCCGCTCGCCTCACAGACGTGCGGAGAAACGCTGGCACGGGAGTTCAGGGTGGGTGCAGGCGGGACACAACCCCAGGGGAGCAGCTGAGCATCAGCGGCCGCGAGGCAGAGGCGTCTCCCCGCACGCGGGTGCTGGGTGCCCACGCTCCTCCCACTCGGTTCTCGGGGCGCACCGGGCAGCAGGTGCTCAGTGGCAGCTCCCGGGGGTTCCGCCCAGGCTTGGAGCAAGCGGCAGACCACGGCGTTGGGCGCTCGGAGCTGGCCAGGCCCGGGAGGCCCGCACTGGAGACCCCGGTGCTTCCAGGGAGCCCTGGCCGACCGGCATGCTGGCGGAGTGACGGCGCAGCCCGCACAAGGGGCTTAGCGGCCACGCGGCCACAGGGAGACACCTGTTCTGGAACGTTGATGACACTGAAGTTCATTTCCGCCGCTGCCGTGTGGCTCGGGGTGGGGAGGCCTCTGCTTGCTGCCCCTGGGCGCTGCCTTCAGCCAGGGCCACTGAGGCGCGGGCCGAGGTGCTCTGTGCTGTGTCCAGGGACGAGACGTCGCCCACCGAGTGTCGGGCGTGGGGCCACCGTTGGCGTCCAGGCTTCCGGCCGTGTGGTTTGCCGGGCGCCTCCTTCCCGGTGAGGCCTGCCCGGGTCTCCCCAGGGCTCGTTCGTCTGTCGCTGATGAGCAAGCCCAAGTCCTGGGTGGACGTCACCCTGCAGGCCACGTCCCAGGCTCTGCGGGGACGGATTCTTGGAGCCAGGTGGGCAGGCATCTCCGTCAGCGACACCGGGCCAGGATGCGGACAGGATGGATTCTCGGAGCCACCCCGGGGCAGGGTGGGCAGGCATCTCCGTCAGCGACACCGGGCCAGGATGCGGACAGGATGGATTCTCGGAGCCACCCCGGGGCAGGGCGGGCAGGCGTCCCCGTCAGCCACACCCAGGGCCAGGATGGGGACGGGTTCTCGGGGCCACACTTGGGCAGGGCTGGGTGTGCAGCGTGCCCTTGTGTCAGCTTCGCAGGGACGTCCGTCAGGGCCAGCCTCACCTTCAACCCCGGCGTCCAGGCCGGGAGGGGCCTGCGCCGCAAGCTCTTGGCGGTCCTGCGGCTGAAGTGTCACGGGTTGTTTCTGGACCTGCAGGTGAGCGGGCAGCGGCCGAGACCTGAGCGATCGGGTGTGGCTAGCGCGCACCAGGCACACGTGCCTGACGGTGTGTGCGTCCGTGTGAGGGGCAGGGGCACCTGTGTGAAGGGCACGTGGGCTTGTGGGTGTGCACGTGTGGGGCTGGTCACCGCCCTCCCTGGCCTCAGCACGCTCAGGGTGAGGCTCCCTGCTGGGCACCCCACCCCCCGCCTGGCCAGGGCTTGGCTGACTCCCCGGGGACGGTGGCTCCTTGCCCAGGGGCTCCCAGCGTGTGCCCGTGACGCCCCGCTGCCCCGGCCACGCAGGTGAACAGCCTCCACACGGTCTACGTGAACCTGTACAAGATCCTCCTGCTGCAGGCCTACAGGTGAGTCCCTGGCTTCCGCCTCGGGCAACTCCACGCCCACCTGCGGGTGGGGACAGTGGCCCACGTCCTGGGGTAGGCAGTCGGGCTCAGAGGCGGCTGAGTTAGCAGCCGGCTGGGCAGGAGACACAGGGCGCGGTCGGGTACAGAGCGGAGGGTGGCAGTGGCTCCAAGCACGTTGCCAGCCTGGTGTCCACACACGGGCTCCTGCCCATGGCTGATGGTGCTTCTGGAACATTCCCTGTTCTTCGCTGATCCTGGGGACGGGGGGTGGACGGGCAGCTCCCCTGCAGGCCGTGTCCTCCGGGCTCGGGCGCTGTGCCCTTGGCCTGGCCGTGCCCGTGCCTCAGCCTCTGTGCCCCGGGGACTTGGCTCCTGAGGTTTCCAGGAAGCCGCTGCCCCCTGCAGCTCGGGCGGGAGCTGACCTCCAGCGACCCTGTCTCCAGGGACACGCAGAAGCCGCTGGCTCTCAGCCTGCAGTCGGCAGGTGGTGGCCGTCACCTGCCACCCGCCCGGCCCCGGAAGCAGAGGTCCTCGCGGTGTACCTGGGACGGGGCCACACACACAGGGTCATTGTCCACAGGGATCGCCCACAGGTCACGAGTCAGCCACGGGAGCCGTTCTAGCCACAGGGCCTGAGCCCGCATTCAGGCCCCGAGGACTGCCACAGCCACATGTGGCTCCCTCCCCGTCCACGGGGCAGAAGGGCTGGTGGCTGCTGTGTCGGGAAGGGTCGGGCACACGGATGTCCTGGGCACTTGGATCCCTGGAGGCAGGCGTGGGGAGAGGAGCTGGACTGTGACGTCGCGGGTGGGTGCATTCCACACGTGTCCACCTGTGTCCCAGCAGTGCCTGGGGTGCAGCTGACTCGAGCCCACAGGCTGAGTCCAGCAGGCCTGGCACGGGGTCCTGCGGGCAGAGGTCTCCCGTGGGCTCCCACGGAGCACCCTGACTTAGCCGACCACAGGGCCAAGGCCCCGTCCCCGCCCAGTGTGTCCCCCCTCAGGCGGCAGGGGGGCCCTCGGTGTGTGGCTGGGAAAGGGCACTGGCCGAGTGGACAGCCTCGCCTTGTCCACAGCAGGCTGCGGTGGTCAGGGAGACCCTGTCGTGCGCGCGTGAGCACACGTGTGCCCCTGCGCGCACACAGGCGGACAAGCAGGCACCGGTCTGCACACGCACAGCACGCCCTGGTAGGGACCTGCGTCCTCTGACGCCTGCGCCCTCCCCCAGGTTCCACGCGTGTGTGCTGCGGCTTCCGTTTAACCAGCACGTTCGCGGGAACCCCTCCTTCTTCCTGCGGGTCATCTCGGACACCGCGTCCTGCTGCTACTCCATGCTGAGAGCCAAGAACCCAGGTGCCTGGGGCCGGGGCTGCGCTGCCGTGGGGTCGCGGGTAGGCGGTACGCTGTGGGGTCGCAGGTGGGCGGGCATGGTGCCATCGGGGATTGCAGGGTGCCTGCGGGGCTGGCGGGTGTGGATGCCCGGGAGCAAGTGCGTCTGCCTCGCCCACACGTGTGCCTCGCCCGCACGTGTGCCTGCACTGCAGGGACCCCGGGCAAGTCAGGCCGCTGCTGAGGGCGCTTGGTCTCCTGGGGGAAGGCAGGAGCTTGGGGTCTGGGGGTCACCAGCCGTGCTCTGCCCCCAGGGATGTCGCTGGGGGCCAAGGGCGCCTCGGGCCCGTTCCCTGCGGAAGCCGCGCGGTGGCTCTGCTATTGCGCGTTCGCACGCCGGCTGGGCCGGTACCGAGCCAGCTACAAGTGCCTGCTGCGGGCGCTCAGGACAGGTAAGCGGGGGGAGAGCCCCCGGGCGCCTGGCTGAGCTGGGTGTGCCGGGTATGCCGGGCCATGAACCCTCGCTGGCCGCCCCGGGTGGCCAGGCCAAGCTCCGTGCTTCCTCCCGGACCCCGGCCTGTGTCCCGCCCCGGGGACCGACCAAAGGGGCCTGACTGCCCGACTTCTGCAGCCCAGGCGCAGCTGCGTGGGAAGCTGCCCGAGGCCACGATGGCCGCCCTGGAGGCCGCGACTGACCCGGCCCTGACCGCAGACTTCAAGACCATCCTGGACTGAGGCCGGAGGAGCCGGGCACATCGCTGTCGGGGGAGGGGCCGTCTGTGACACAGGGCAGGGCCTGTCCTCGGGGGCTCCTTCCTTCAGGTCAGTCCCCTCCCTGCTGTCCTCAGGGGAGCAGAGCCCACTGCCAAGACCTCTCATGACCCCGGCCACGGATGGCCCGAGGCAGTGGGAGACCTGGCCGTGGGCCGTGGGCCGTGGGCCTGTGAGCGTGGGCCCCACCCTGGACCTGCTCATCACCCCCGCGTGATCCAGGGCTGCTGGGGGAAGCCCTGTGCTCTGTGCTTGGTTACGCTGCCCAGCTTGAGTGAGGAGGCCCCAGGGCGCTGACCCACACGTACCTGGCAGCAGCAAGCCACCCACCCCCTCATCCAAAGTCCAGGCTGAGCGTCCCTGAGCCAAGGTGTCCGCTGTGCAGCCCTGCCCCGGCCTCCCCTCGCCCCGCCCCTGCCCCCATCCCTGCAGTGGCCCCCTGGAGCCAGTGTCTGGTGCAGTGTGTGTGGACTCCCTTCCCGTCCTCGGACAACAGGGCAGGTGGACACGTGGACGCCGTGGGGGAGTCTGGAGCCGCGTGCTGGAGCCACGCATCTGGCGGGCAGCGTGGGGCCGCCTAGTGCCCAGCGAGGACGAGCAGGGAGCCCCTTCCCCAGGCCCCAGCGTGCAGGGGACTAGATGCGTCCCGAGGACCCTACTGAGCAGGAAGGGCAGCGTCGGGGGAGGATCTTGGTGAAGGAGTGGCCCCTGCCTAAGGGCCGGCTTGGGCAGCCTGAAGCCTGGCCGAGCTGGCACCTGTGTGACGGGTCAGCTGCTGTGAGCAATTCCAGAACCTTCCAGGATGTCGCAGATGGGGCCATGGACGTGGACCTTGGACAGGGCTCCTGGCGCCTCGTGCCGGGTTTTATGGCACAGGATGTGCCCCTTTGCCGCTCGTCTGGAAGACGTCCTGGTGACTGAGCCGACGCCCGGGGGACCCCAGACCCTGGTGACTGAGCCGATGCCTGGGGGACCCCAGACCCTGGTGACTGAGCCGACGTGCCCGGGGGACCCCAGACCCTGGTGACTGAGCCGACGTGCCCGGGGGACCCCAGACCGTCCTGGTGACTGAGCCGACGTGCCCGGGGGACCCCAGACCCTGGTGACTGAGCCGATGCCTGGGGGATCCCAGACCCTGGTGACTGAGCCGGACCCCAGACCATCCTGTGACTGAGCCGACATGCCCGGGGGACCCCAGACCCTGGTGACTGAGCCGACGTGCCCGGGGGACCCCAGACCGTCCTGGTGACTGAGCCGACGTGCCCAGGGGACCCCAGACCCTGGTGACTGAGCCGGACCCCAGACCGTCCTGTGACTGAGCCGACGTGCCCAGGGGACCCCAGACCCTGGTGACTGAGCCAATGCCCGGGGGACCCCAGACCCTGGTCACTGTGCCGATGCCCAGGGGACCCCAAGCCATGCTGTGCTGTCACTCGGTTCTCGGGCTTCACCGAGTGCTGAACCTTGGAAAAGCTGAGCTTTCGTGATTCACAGGTTTATTGGTTCATTTGAGAGCGACCGAGAGGGGGAGAGAGCTCCCACCCGCCGGCGCCCCCGGTGGCCGCCATGGCCAGCGCTGAGCCAGGCTGGAGCCTGGAGCTCCATCTGGGTCTCCCACATGGGTGGCAGGGGCCCCGGTGCTTGGGCATCCTCTGCTGCCTTCCAGGGCCATCAGGGAGCTGGGTGGGAGCAGGGCGGCCAGGCCTCTGGCCAGCGCTGACGGGATGCAGTGTCAAGTAGCCGCTTTGTGGACACGGGATCCCCACAGGCGAAGCGCACCAGCCTCTTCACTGCCTGAGCTCTGGCCTTCGCAGTGAGCAGCTCCTGCCGGGGGGTGGGGGGGTGGGGGCGGAACCCCCAGGGGGGCTCACTGGTGTCACCAGTGGGGGCTGTTGTGACTGAGGGATAGCGCCCCCAAAACCAAGATGCTGCGCCCTGCTCCCCAGCGCCCCCTGCTGGTCATGCTAACTGTAGTCCCCCATCGGCTGACCTTGTGGCGGTGGCCCTGTCTGCCCTTGGGGGCTGTTGCCCATGGACACGGCACCCAGGAGGGAGGGGCCCCCTGTGGACTCCTCTGTTCTGGCCACTTCTGGCCACATGAGGGCAGCATCTGCTCCTGTGCCAGCCCCTGCCAGTCAGAGGTGTCACATCGAGGGCTCGTGCCCATGGGGGTGTCACGCGGGTCGGCCATTGCCCTCTGCAGCCCCCGAGCCATGTCCACGTTCACATGAGTGTCCATCTGTCCACACATCCGTGGCTGAGTTTTCTGGAGGCTGGGTGTCCACTGGGTCTCTGTCCCCACGCCCCACCCCTTCCCGCTTGGCTGCTGAACCAGGGCTCCGACACCACCACCGCCAGCCCCCGAGGGCCCCTCCAGGCCAAGCTCCTGGGCACGGGGTGGCCAGGCGAGGTGTGGACGGGAAGGGCAGCCCTGGAGCCGTTCAGGGCAGTGGTAGGATGTGCAGGCCACAGCGGCAGTGTCGGGACAGCGTTGCCCTCGCTTCCCAGCCCTGTGGGGGCTTCGCTCACCCTGCTGGGGGCCTGCCTGCACTGTCCACTGTGCAGAGGGCAGGTCATGAACCGGGAGGGCCAGCCGAAGGGGCACCGCAGGGCAGAGCTGAGGTGGGCAGACGCCTGTGGTCCCGCGAGCTCCTGTCCCCTTGGCTGTCTGCTCAGCTGCTGTCAGCAGTGACGTCCAAGTGAGCGGGACGGGGCTGAGCCCTGGGACGCCCCTCATGCCGTGGGCTCCCCCGTGTGACACCCCATGCTCACTGCCACCTGTCTCAGCATGGCGTGGGGAGGGCTGCCACGATGGAGGGCTAAGTGTCGGCCTCCGCCACTGTGGGCTCGGACGTGCACGGGGCGCGGGGGCCGAGGGGGTGTTTGGCTCTCAGCTGCTCTGCAGGCGGGGCTTGGTCACACCCGTGGCGGCGAGAGCTGCTCCCAGCAGACGCCCCTTGGGCGATAGTGCTACAGCCTTTTGGGGTGCTGCGGGGGCGTGGCCAGCCGTGTGTTTCTGCACCAGGGAAGGGCTGGGGGCTCTGTGGGTGCTGGTCTGGCAGTGTGAGGCCGGGGTCTGTGGTCAGAAGGAAGCGGGGTTGGGGTGGGCAGGTGGGGGCTGACTGCCTGGGTGCTTGGTGCGGGGAGGGCGGCTGGGGACCGTGAGGGAGTGGCCGAGAGGTCACTGGAGCATGGGCACTGACACTGGCGGTGTCTCCCAGAGTCCTCCCTGGCTGGGCTCCCAGCACCCGTGAGTCCCCCTCACGCGTGTGCAGATGACCCCTGTCCCCCGTCCTGAGCTGGACTTGCGGTCAGCCTGGGGCTGGATTCGCCTGCCCTTTGTCCATCGCTGAGCTGCGTGGGCGGTGCCCTGTGGGGGCTGTGTGGGCGGCACTGACGCAGAGGGCCTCCCATGGCAGCCAGGACCTGGGGTACCCCTGGGTGGACTCTGCCTCCCATTTGAGGGTGGGCAGACGGCTGTGGTCCCGCGAGCTCCTGTCCCCTTGGCTGTCTGCTCAGAGCTGCTGTCAGCAGTGACGCCCGGAGAGAGCAGGCCCGAGACGTGGGGAGCCAAGGGTCCTGCAGAGTCGGCGGGAGGGCGTGATGAGGTCACCCACGGCCATCCCTGCCCCCAGCGGGCCCTGCTGTCCTGCGGCCTCAGGCTCCTGTCCCGCCACGTGTCCTGCTGTGCCTCCTGCACCTGGCCACCAGCCGGGCCAGTGCGACGCCCGGGACCCACAGAGCGGGCAGCAGGGACAGGAGCACGCAGGTGGCCTGCACCCAGCCGGGGTAGAGTTTCTCCTGCCTGGAGGGGAACTGCTCCTGCAGGGGGCGCAAGAGAGAGAGAGCTAGCTCAGCCTGGAGGGGTGGGCCCCGGCCTCAGACCCCAGGCCTCGGGCAGAGCGAGGCTGACCCGACCACTGTGCACGGAGGCAGCCCCAGTCCTCCCTGGGACTACCAGAGGGCAGCTTCCTGGGTGGGTGCTCAGGGATGAGGGAGCTGGGGCTTGAGGCTCCCTCTGGGTGGAAGCCCTCAGGGCAGGCAGGGCACGTGGCCCCACCCACTGGCCTCCGACACTTGTGGACAGGTGAGGTGTGGTCTGAGACCCCGGGATAAAGCAGAAATTTCTCACTTCCCCCAGGCGGACCCTGAGGGGTTCCGGTGCTCACTCGGAGGGCCAGCCCAGGCCAGGTGTTGCGTGGTCCCCTGTGAGGACCGGGCAGGGAGCGACCTCCTCCAGTCTGCCGCCCGACCTCTCCCAGACACTGGATCGGTCGCTTCCCTGGCTGCCTGTCCCCACAGCACGTGGGAAGTGCGGGCTGGAAGGACCGATGTCCCCAGGGTCTGGACGCTGCTCTGAGGCCCTCACTCGAGGGGCTTCGGTCCCACCAGGGTCGCCCTGCGGGTCACTGCGGCCCCTTGATCCCCGTGGGAGGACCTACGTGCTGGGGGTTCCAGGCCCGGTAGCTCGGCGGCCTCTGGGCCAGCAGGACGAGGTAGGCCAGGAAGACGCTCAGGAGGAGCAGGGGGCTGGCCACGAGCCACGCCGCCCGCCAGTAGAGGCCTGGCCGCCGCCCCGTCATCCACGCGATGTCGTCACAGAACCTGCACGGACACGGGGCTCAGCGGCGCTGCGGGGCCCTCCCCAGCCCCCGGGCTCCTCGTGGACCTCAGCTCACCGCCGCAGGCCGTAGACGTAGATGACCCCCACCACCTCGAAGAAGGCGAAGATGATGAGGTTGAGGGAGGCCGCGTAGCTGTCGAAGATCTCCAGCCAGTAGCTTCCGGACTGCAGCGTGAAGCAGGTGGCCGAGAGCAGGCAGGCCAGGCAGGCCAGCCCTGGGGTGCAGGGGGCTGGGTGGGAGGCCTGCACCCGCCCTTCTCCCCCACCCGCCCTGCCTGCTGGAGTGGGCGAGGGCGTGGCCTCAGCGGGCCGTGGTCAGCGGGGGTCCACCCGTGTCCTGCCCGGAGCCGCTGGGCTGGCCTCGTGCCCCTGAGCTCTGTAGGGGAGGCGGCAGGCATCCCTGGGCTGAGCTGTGCACTCACCCGTGAGGGCCTCCTTGGGGAACCCTGTGGGGACGACCCCCATGTCCAGGAGTGGCGTGATGATCCCCTCCATGTTGCCGAACATGGACGAGAGCCCCAGGGTGAAAAGCATCCCGAAGAAGAGCACGGCCCACACGGGCGCCCCCGGCATGTGCAGCACGGCCTCCGTGAAGACGATGAAGGCCAGGCCGGGGCCCGAGGCGCTCTGCAACCGGAAGCCACGGTGGGCCACGCGCACGGGCCGTGGGTGCGCTTGCATGGAGGCCGCGGCCACCGCCCCCCAGAAGGCCCCGGGTGCCTGGGACCTGGTTCTGCGCCCGGCTGCCCGTCAGCCCGGCCCTGAAGCCACCCCACTGGACAAGGGCTCCACTGGACTCCGGCAGGCTCGCAGCCCTGTGGCCTGGCCCGACGCCTGGGGTTCCCGGGGTGGCCCCGCAGCCCCGCGTGCACTACCTTGTCCAGGAAGTCCTCCAGGCGGCAGACTCTCAGGGGCAGCCGGGCCAGCCTCTCCGGCTGTGTGGCGTTGAGCTGCGCGAGGACGGCCTCGTAGCTGGCCCTGGAGATGCTCTGCTCTGGGAGGTCGAACTCGTTGATGAGGCCCAGGATGTTCCTGCGGGGACACGGGGTGGGGCTGTGGGGCCTGTGCTGCCACCCGCCGCCCGGGCCAGCAGATGTGTCCAGGCACAGGGCCCACGGCACCCTGGGTGGGGCTGTGGGGACACTGGGTGGGGCTGTGGGGCTGTGCTGCCACCCGCCGCCCGGGCCAGCGGATGTGTCCAGGCACAGGGCCCACGGCACCCTGGGGGACCAGCCTGCCCACGCCTCCGCTCCTGTGGGCGACCCACGTGTACTCCTGCTCCGGGAGGGGGCGGCCTCACCCTGCAGGCCCCGGCTGGCACAGGGGTGTTGGCTTCTGCAGCTCAGCTGAGGGGCCCAGCCCCCCCATCTTCAGGACTCGAGGGTCAGGCACTCTGGGGCCGGGAGCCCCCGCACCCACACCCGGCGTCGCACGCTCCCAAGGTCGGCCTTGGGGCTCGCTGTCCACACAGCTGCTCCTGTCACCCTCCCACACAGTCCACTGAGCCCTGATCTGGGCATTGAGGCTCCCGGCCGGGGGCCCAGCCGAGCCCAGCCCTCCCGTGTGAGCTTCCTGGGTCGCTCAGGCGCCATGTCTTCCGCAGGTTTGCTGTGTTCTGTCGGCAGCCGGTCGGGCTGCTCAGAGGCCCCGTGTCCGGTGTCCTAAGTGCGGGAGGCCGGGACGTGCCTCACGGAGGAAGCCGCGTGTCAGGTGGGCGCCAGGCATGAGTGACAGCGCTGTTGACCACGCTCAGTGCGGGGGCGTTGGGGCCTTGTATGAAGCAGGGTCTCACGCAGCCACGCAGAGCAGGGCCAAGTGTGGCCGGGGGAGGAAGCGCGACCTCATCCTGATGCCTCAGGCACCCAGCCCAGCCCAGC